ATTAATCACAACACAAAAAAAAAAAAAAGATAATTAGCAAAGTTATGGTTAAGAGTTAAGACAACAAAAATAAAAACACTGAAATCTATTCAAGATCGACAGTTTAACCGCACGTACCAACCGTTCGTGATTCGATTTCATGCCGTAAACTTCACTACTCGGCGAAAATCTCGAGTCGTTGACTTCAATTTCACAATCCAAAGCAATCTGTTACCAAAAAATGGTCAAGTCTTGATAGGTGTTATTACAATGCAGCTTATGTAAAACAGAACAAATGTCTATTTAGTTACATGCAACATGAAAGATGAGATTTTTATTTTTATTTTTATTTTTAACTTTTTTCTCTTATCCAACCGAAATACGGGTTCGAATATTTCTGGCGCGAGAAATTGAAGTATTACCCTAATCTTAGGCAACGTGACCCGAAAAAATCGAACCTCTGCTTTAAAATCGCCTAATATCCTTATGCCAGCCGAACCTTCTGTTGACGAGCCGTCTTTTTTGGAATTTCTGTAAATTATTTCGCTAACGTTTAAGCATTCGACAAACACTCGCGTTTCGAGGGTTACGTTTTTGCTCAATGGGGGCTGATGAAAATCCGGGATTATAATCAGTCCAACTACTAATCCTTGGCTCAGGACATGGAATCTCGAAGGGTGGTAGCTTAATCCGACCTTGTTAGGATTACGCGTGATTATGTCTAAAGAGAAAACCGACGAGACCATGAGGCTTTGGCCGGGGCTTATTACGTCGAGTTTGTATGATTTCACGTGTATTGTTTTGAGGGAAAAATCTGGCATTTGGGGCTTCAAGATTAAGATGATGAATAAAAGGGGGACACCAAAGAAGAAAATTAGCAAGAAAATGAAAAGGAGAAGGAAAAATGTGCAGGTTTTCATAAAGGAGTATGATTTTTGGAGGTATTTGGTTGATTGATTTGGAAAATTTGTTCATTTTTTTGATGAGGAAAAGTATGTTGTGTCAAGTGTTTTTAACCAAATTTTCTTTAGGTTTTTAAGATTGATCATGAGATGGAGCAAGAATGTGATGTTTTTCTTGTGGAGTTATCTTCCTACTATTCCTTTCTTGTTACAAATTCTTTTCAGATTATTTATTGATTTTTCCTTCTTTTTTTTTTCTCTTGACCCTTTTTTATTGTACTCCAAGATTTCTCAAAGAAAAATCTTGCTTTCCTTTTTCAAAATTAATATTGGGTTTCTTCAAATTTATGTATCTTACTTCTATACTCTGAATTAGCTTATCAAAATATACAAGGGTGGATGAATGTTTGTATACCTGAAATTGGTTTCAATTTGGTATATATATCCTAAATTTTTTTATTTGGTGATTATAAATTTTGAATTTCAAACTTTCATTATTAAAAAAAATAAGGAATGTTAAAGAAAATATCCACAAGAATGCTCCAAAACAAGCATTTATACAAAAAAATTATTCAATCTTGCTAACAAATAAATAAAAAAGAGAATTGATTTTGTGGCAGTAATCGAATTGTACCCTCACAAGAAAAATTATTTTTATAGATAATAAGAAAGATTATTTTCTAGTGCTTCTAAAATTTTGTCCAAAAATGAAAAGAGTGAAAAATTGAAAATGACTTCGTTTTCAAGGAGACCTTTCTTTTCATCAACAATTGAAAAATAGAAAATGACTTTTGACATTGCTTGTCTATATGACAGGTGACTCCACTCCCACCTTCCCTCAACTTGATTTCATATTCATCCTGCAAGTCTTCATAATTTCACAAATGGCCCCAGAACAAATGGATCAACATGCAAAATTGCAAATTAGAAGTCAACCAAAGAGATGAACACAGAAACAGATAGTTATATTATACAGCATAAGTTCCCATCAAAAGTATATCAATCCCATACAGGCATAATCTTAAAATCACCACTCAAACTTTGCAGTCTTTTGAAAAACACACAGTAGATTCAAAACCCTAGTTATTACTGCACAATAACAAGAGCACCCTATTAAATAAAACACCATCATTCTTAGCTTTAAGCAAAGCTTTACTGTTTGCCCTCTTCCATTTGCTTAGCAACAAACACACCTACAAAACCACAGCAACAAAAAGATATAAACCCAAGATGAAAAATCGAGAGAAAAGAAATAATCTAAAAAGCCGAAGGGAACTGCATTTTGATCATAATGGATTGTGATAATAATCCAGCCCGAGATAAATCTTGAAAATGGGGAAGGAAGTAATTTAGAAAGATAACTGGATTTTTTTTTAGCCTCGGGCAGTTTGTGTAATTATCTTTTTCATCCCTGAAAAATAAATTTCGAAAAAAAGCACCAATATGTAGCCTTATTTACAGAAAAAGAATAGAGGCAAAGACGAGCAAATAGCTTCAGTAAGCCCCATCGAAAGACCAAAGATCCATCTCGTTCCCGTTCATGAAGGCATCAATCGAGGCATCCCAATTCCCGTCGAAATAAGGCATCTGAAACAGCTTCAACTGAGAATCGAACTCCGAGAGATCATCATTTCCATCACCAGACACAATAATTTCCTCTGGGCTGGATTTAGATTTCTTCACAGGCCCAACATCATTCTCTTCTGCGAATTGGGCCTGGTCATCCTCAATCACAGCAGAGAGGACAGATGAGATTTCAGGAGGAGTCTTTGCACAGTTTTCACCCCAGGTGAAATCCGAGCAGTCGAAAGAGTTACTCCCCTGATCTGAGCTGAAATAGACATTTGTGCCCTCAGTTGGTTTTACCTCAGTTATAGATCCAAACTGATTATTATTCATCTGTGGTTTTTCCTCAAGAAAGCCCAACGAGTCATAGCAGTCATTCGGCATATTCGGGAAATTCGCAGTCTGGTTTGGGCTGGGCTGTACAGAGTCCGGGCTTTCCTTAATAACCAGTTTTTGAATATCTCCAGGGAAATTCACCTTTGCTTTCTTGCCTCTGATCCTGCGGGCCTCGGCATCATAGGCCCGTGCAGCTTCCTCGGCAGTGTTGAAAGTGCCGAGCCAGACTCGAACTCCTTTTCTCGGGTCACGAATCTCAGCAGCCCATTTGCCCCACGGGCGCTGGCGAATGCCTCTGTATTGATTCTTCCTCTTTCTTTTGGAAGACTTGTCGTTTTCCTCATGGTCAGATTGAGAAGCATCCAAAGGCTTCAAAGCTTCACAAAAAATGAACGAGAGATATAAAGATATTTTAGACCCAACTGCTGAAAATAGTAGGAGAAGCGATATATGCAAATATCTGATCAGTCAAGTTTAGAAGGAAATGAATGAAGGCCTATATCCATAGAAAATTCAGCAAACTACAACTTTGAACTAATTGAGGGCCATATGAATATGTTTATATCTTTCTGCCATTAAATCCCTTGAAAAGAAGCATATCTTTTTGCAGATTTTCACTTTCTTATCCAAACTAGAGACAAGAAATCCTTTTGAAGCAACTTGATCCAAGTACTGATTATTGAAAGAAAGCCTACAGCAGTTCTACTCCAAATAGCTTCCAAGAAAGACATCCCTACAGCTTCAGAAACATTTACAGTATAATAAAGGCATAAATTTGGCCCAGAAGGTCAAAATCGAAGAATGAACAACAGAAACAAATCCAGGTTGGTATTCCAATTGCAGAACTACAAATATAACCATTTACCCAGTCAAAGAAACTCAAAAGGCTTTCAGTCTTCATATTCATGTTCGGTGCAAAATTACATACAACTCATGTTCAATCAGAATAATCAAACATATCTACAGTCAACCACTAAATCATGAAATTGCCCAAAAGTACATCTAAGCTAAGAAGATGAACGACTTTGTAAGCAACACCCAGAAACATATTAAAAAAAAAAAAGATTAAAACTTTGTTCATTATTTAATACACCCTAAGCACCCAGTTAAATAAAATAAAATCATTTCAAATGTACAGACTGGTTAACAAACTCCACCGTTGAATAAAATAAATTTAAGTAAAAAAAAAAAAACACCAGTATTACCTTTCACAGCAGAACTCTTTGAAGCAGAGAAAGAGAACGGTTTCTTCACATCGACCTCGCCTTCATCGTCGGAGTATTCCTTAAAATCCTGAAAATCAGCCTCGAAATCATCGTCCAAATCGACGACCGGCTCAGATCTCCTAGGCTTGGAGCGGTAGCTCCCCGGATTCTTCTTCTTGCTCAGATCGGCACAGCCGCTGCCCCAGAGCAGCTCCGCCGTCAGCCGGCGGGAAGATCGGCCCGCAGGAGATATGAAATCGGATATTATAGCTCCACCACACATATTAACTCAAAATATTTCCTCTTCGTTCGATTGCAGATATTCTCTCGATTTTTCAACAATACACAATTTTTTATTTTTTATTTTTTTCTGGAAAAATGGTAGAAAAACGATGAACTTTTTTAATAGAGATTTTTGGGTTTAAGTGAGGCAGCTTCTTTTCTTTATATGATGGTGAGCCAAAAGAGGCAGGTGAGATATCGGCAGGAACGAGGTGACGATTTGAAATGGCAGTTATGCCCCTCAAAAATGTGTCTAGACAGAAGTGCCCTTGCCTTGCCTGGATGGGCTTGTGCTAGTGGTCCAAGACTTATGGATCGTACGTATGCTGAACTTGAGCCCATTTAGTTTTAAACTCGGCCAGCAAATAATTACCAGGGTAAGAAAATTATTTTGGCATTTAATATAGAAAAAATTACACAATTTATTTATATTTTTTTATTTTCACATTTATGATTTTTTTTTTAATTATACTAATTTTTAAAATCTATGAATGATTTATTTTTATCATTGATTTCTCAATTGTATTTTCAGAAAGTCATTAAAAATGTAATAAAAATGTAAAATAGACTATAATATTTGAGGAGAATTCATAATATGAAAAAATCTTAAATATAAATTTTTTTAATACTTGAAATGTAAATATTTGAATTCAATTATAGGCATAAATTTATATATTTAAGATTTTTTATTTTTTTTCGCATTTAAGATAATTTAACGGAACGAACATATTGTAATTAGAGAAATTATAGATTCCTGAATTGCATAATCATGTACGTGTATTAATTTACGTAAATGGTAAAATTAGGTAACTAAATAAAACTAGATATTAGTGCCAACATGCTGACCTGGTAAGATTATTATTATTTTAATTTTTTTAATTACTATTTAATAAATTAAAAATTCGGGTATCATGTCACATCGAGCATTTATCATGCTTCATGCTTGGATAAAAATTTTTTTTGATTTGATTAGATTTTTTGATTTAGTTTAATTAATTTTAAAAAAAGTGGAATGGTTAGTTATTGAATATATTAAAATAATATTTAAAATAAAATAATTAAAATTGATTTGATAAAAATAGGAGATAGATGATTTGAAGTGATAGTTAGTTAAAATTATGTAAGTGAATGAATAATGAATTAAAGTTGATTTGATGGGTAAGAATAATTAGTTGATATTATTTAATTATATTGATAATATTGATATAGTGGGTTGAGTTAAAAAAATTGTTGAGCTAAAAATGTTTGGATTTTTTTGAGTAGATTTATATCCAAGCTATACGAGTTCGATATTAAATAAATCGAGATGAGCTAGTTATCGTCCGATTTATTTTGCTTTTATTTTATATATATATACTTTTTATAGATTTTAAATGAAACGAAGTGATTGAATTCAACATGTCTGTGAATTCGAATTTGTCTTTCACAACCTTAAGAATAGTAGGGTTGCAAACGAATTGACTAGAGTGGGGTCAAGCATAGACTTTGTCGAAGTGAGATTTAACGTTTTTCTTTAATGTTCAAGATCGACGATCCTTGTAAAATTGTGTTCGACTCGACTCGTGAAAAAAATAAAAAGCTCGGCTCGATGTTAGACATGGCTCGTGTTAAGTTCGAATTTTTAACAACTAAATTTTAAATACAAGGCTACTATTATTAATTTATGTAGACAATTTTGACCTTGATGCTCTAATATTGATAATTAAATTTTATGGAATATTTATGCAAATAAAAAGTTGAGCGACTCGTCGAGCTTACGAACCAGTTGAAATGATGCTCAAAACTCGGTTCATTTGCTTGGTTTAACTGCTTGAACTCGAGTCAAGCATTGACTCGAGCGTTCGTGAGCACTTTAACTTGCTTACCGCCCTACTTTTTTTTTTTTTTTTTTTTTTTNTTTATCAACTCAGTCCCTTGCTTACCGCCCTATTAGAACACTACGTATAGAATTTGTTGTTGCTCGTGAGATATTAAACAATAGAAATCACATAATAATTGCCGTCCAAAAGGAATCTCACGTGCCAAATTATTCCAAATGTTAGCCACTAATCGTGTCACAAAATAACTAATCATAGTGCTAATTCTTTAGTACTATATCATGTACACTGTATATATTCACACATTTTTATAAATACTTATTTTGTGAGACACGGGTGTAGAGATTATAAGCTTAAGTGTAATAAAATATCAATTATGAATGTTTCATGATTTGTGATTGGATATGATATAATTTGATTTAAGTGGGAAAAAAGAATTGGATAAGTAAAGTTTATGAAAAAAAATAATTATTTATAATGTAAACTGATGTGATATAAAGAGTGATAAGTAATGGTAATTAATTAATTATGAATAACAAGAAATGTAAGTAATACTTGACAATCTGAAGGATACGAAAATGGAATGATTAAAATTTGTAATATTCACCATTCACAATATTCTTGATTATCTATTATTACATTATTGTTTTTATACTATGTTATGTTTATTAATTATATTTTTATTTTATATTCATTCAATTGCTAAAAAAACATTCTTCATATAAAAAACTTGTNAAAAAAAAAAAAAAAATTGTGAAACCGTTCCAATCGTTATCGTTCTAAACTCATTTAGCTTAGACATCACTTAATTCCCAACTATAACTGAAAACTTACGTATCGAATTGTAACAAGCAATTTAACATAAGTTTATTGGGCTAAACAAATTCACATTGATGTGACTCTCACAGTCATGAATGCGAAGCACAATTATTGTGCATTTATATTTTAATTAAAAAATAAATCGTATTTCATTGGGTTTTTTATTAGATTGATAAATACTCATGTGGGTATATGATATATGATAAATGATAGAAATTTTAACGAGGACGGGTATGATGGAGTTTTTATTAATTTTTTAGACGTGCATCATAAATTAGTTCGGATCAAATTTCTGATATGTTTTTAGACTTGAGTCATTATTAGTTGTATTTTTTTCCAAGTTATTTAGATATGTTATATTATATTGAATACAACATTTTATAGAGTTGTTTTTTGAAAAAAAATTGATAGCATTTTATGAACAAATAACATTAAACTCATATTATGATTAACAATTTTGTATCCATGTTTGAGATTATTTAATTTTCTTAAAGTTTTCATGTTTGAAATTTGATATAGTTGTAATGAAAAACACAATACACGAACTTTATAGAGAATTCAACTTCGAGCTGTCGTCTCACATACTCACATATTTGTCGATCACATATAGTGCATAAGGTGCTATTTAATTAATTTTGGCTATTTCTGGATTTTGTTTTCTATCACAACTTGCAATCTATGACAAGCACAGCTTAAATGTTAGCATATAGGTAAAGGACTCATTATTTTTTCCCAATTCTATTTAATTTTTGATTCTATATTACCCAATGAAAGAAAAATAATACTTAAATCTTATAAAATGAAAGATATATTCTAATCATATCCTAACAGGTTTCTAATTTACTAGTAGATTGCATGGCTAGATCATTTTAGGCTACTACACCACCAACTTGGTCTATTGGGCAATTTTCAAAATTTATTCTCAACTTTGCTTGGTCCTAAATCCCAACAAGATAGAACTAAGTAATTAAAATAATCAAGATTTAATAAGCTTAAGTACTGTACTAATAATTAAATAACATGAGCATAAGTAATAATTTACTTTTTTTATTCTTTTTGGGCCCAATTGCTGAAGGGATAAGGGATTGGAGTCATTGGACCACCTCTGTCCAGGACTCTATTGTCTTTTGATATTTTTTCCTAATTCCTAACAAATGAAAGCAAGTTGTCAAGTAGATCATCAACTTGCTAAGGTGAACCCAACGTAAAGGAAATAAAATATTATTAAGTAAAAAGAATTAAAATTTAACTTGATTGGATTCATGAGGGAAGTCATCAGCTGGCACAAGAAATGAATATATATATATATATATATATATATTTACAGAATAAAATTATTAATTTCATTGATTAAGTTAAATACTTTTGCATAAAATAAATAATAAATTTTTATTTACAATTTGATCACAATGTGTAATATAAGGGCTTAGTCAATTTAAACATTTGAATGTTGAACACCTGGTTGTACAGGCCCAGTAAATCTAGTCAAGATAGTTATTAATGGACTATACAATATAGGGCCTTACAAATTATGGCCCAGCAATGCCTTCTGCTTGGGACAATCCTAACTTATTATTACGGGCTCATGTATATTTTAGCTCAAATAACATCCCGTATTTGTGGTCCCGAGGACGGCCTTTGGGCTGCAGTTGAGCCATTAATGGTATTTTAGACTTTGATGTGGATCATTAAAATTATAGTTTTAACTTTTAACGGATTGAGTGGCCATTTAGTCCATTTTATAAGGGTTCATAAGTATAGAGAGAATGATGGCCCAGTCTTTAACTTTGACTAATAATAATTATCTTAAGCTCAGTTTTTTCATGTGAGCATTGGATGCTAACATTGAATATTAACATAAATTTCAATAAATTCATATCATTTTTATTATATTGATGCGCAATTCCCTTGGAACCGAAAATTGCTTCGGTTCAGCGAGCTATCATAGGTGTTATATTTTATATAATAAATTGTTTTGCAAATAAGAGAGGTTTATTTGAAAGAAGTTTATTTCCGAGTATAAACAGGTGAAAGTTCGATTTGGCTGATTTAATGAACCAAAAGTCATAAATGAGCTGATCAACTAAACACAAACTATTTAATCTGTAAAAAGTTCGATTTGATTGTTTCTGTAAAAAAATCGTTTATGAAGATGCTTAACTTAATTGGTGCGTTATATAAACTAGGTAGATTAGCTCTTTTAACGCTCCTCGTTCACCAAGTTAAACGAGCCGAGCTCGAATTTCAAAAAGAAAAAATCGAACCATGCCAGCGGATATGCCAATTATTCAAATAAAAGAACCAAATAATAATCTGTTGCGTGCTAAAAATCTTTCTGGATATAACGTTGGATAGGGCCTTTTGTGAGATTTACATGTCGAATTGGTAATTGCAAATTTAGAGTGTATGAAAAGCTAGAAACAACATATCAAACATAGATTACAAGAACATGGCT